AATCCAACCATTACAACGCAGAATTACACACGAGCGGTACAACCGGATCAGGGTCCGATACAATCGCTCACGGAAGTTCTGCCAGCCTGCAGTGCCCAGCGCGGTACAACCGCCAGTACATCCAGTAGTACCGCTGAATAATATTCAACCGGGACAACTGGACAAGTACAATCATGTACCACCCTGGTAACCGAACATAATCACTTGTTCCACGGTACTTGGGCTGATGCATGGTCCGGAACAACTGCAGTGGTAGAGCACCTTCGGTCGCTAGGTCCTTTGGGGTACAAATGTAACGGGCTGATCGGTTGTACCACTGTAAATAATGCAGCCGGGACAACTGGGGCGACAACCGCCGTGTACCGGCTAGCCACCCGAAAGGAACCACCCTTTTCCGGTGGTCCGGCCGAAAACTCAGATCAACTCTAGACAAGAATCAAATCAAGGTTCTTATTATCAGAGATAACTAAGGTTAAAAGTTTGAACTAAACCATAAACAATACCACCATAATGTGCTCAACAATGTCATATTATTATGAAAAACTGAAAATTGCGGGAAAAGTAAAAAAAACTACTCGTTTTGCTCAGTGGAAGCAGAAGTACCCGTTTTTCTCGCTGGAAACATAAGCTCAACAGGTATGCCGCCGCCGCCGCCGTCGATGACGACTTAACATGCATACCTGCATTTCCTCGAAAAAAAAATGCATACCGCACTGAAGGACGTCTAACTTAACGTCTGCCAGTGCCAGGTACCAGTGCCTTGCGGGTATCCGTCGTTTGATGCGGCAATACATATCACTGGGGTTTCGTCAGACAATCACCTGTCTTCTCTGAAAGAAAAAAAAACATTGGACGAGATTAGAAAACAGTTTTTTCTTGCGGGACCAGCGGCTGCCCGTTGTACACGAGCGTGCATCCGAAGGAGACCACATTCAGCTTTGCAGGTGGCCGGCCAGGCGGCTTAGCGGACAGTCCCACGCCACTTGCATCCTCAATCCTTGTGATGCGGTAGTTGAAGTAAAGCTCATAATCTTGTTGGTTGCTCGTTCTGACTGCGGTATTGTTCGTTTGATGATATAGAGATCGTGATGTAGTGTCGTGAGTTTTTTGAAAGAAAATGAAGTTAACCTTGACTATCTTTGCGTTGCTGAAGGCTTGAACGAATTTATGGCATGCTTTGTCATCTGTAGGAACAACCTCCGCAGAAAAATGCAGGCGCAGGTCCACCCGTGCCACGTCCGATGGCTGCGGTGACTTGAGCGACAATGGCCGGAGGGGCCCCTCATACGTGAAGTGCCGCAGCAGCGGAGCATCGAGCTCCATGGTGTTTTCACGATTATCAACCCAGCAGTCGAAATTTGCGAGAGTGAGGGTGGCGACCCTGGGGCAGCGCATAACCAGCGAACGCTGCACACGAGGGTTCCCTACAAAGAGCTCGGATTTGTCGAGGTGCAGGGTGGCGAGCAGCGGCGCGGCGTCGATCACACCTTGGAGTAGGCCGAGTGAGACGCTGCACAGGTGCAGCCGCAGCTCCACGAGCCGAGGGAATTGACTACGGACCACCCGGTCGTAGTCGAAGCACTTGCTGAGGTGCAGCACGCGGAGGGACGTTGACGACGACAGGACGCCTATGCTGAGAGGGTAGAGAAACTTGGACCAGGGTGTGTCCGAGCACGGGCCGTAGAAGAGCCCGATGTAGAGCTCCTCTAGGTGGCGGGCCGCCTGGCCGGACAGCAGCGCCTCGAGTCC